CGCCGCCGCCGCCGCCGCCGCCGCCGCCGCCGCCGCCCAGCTTTCCTGTCTACATTTAAAAGTATCTTGACATCTTTGTCTTTTAAAATACTCTGTTTCTAGTTTTTATCTCCTTATATTTATCTAGTTTTGTTTCTGAAACCTTTTCACTATTGAAAATTCTTTTTTTTCTTTTTATTTAGCTTTCTATTTTTCCCCAATCGCGTGTTCTTTCCTTTTTTTCTCCTTCATGCCATTCTCCTCCACTCTCCTTCTTTCTCCTTTTGTGTTTTTAACGTGGCTTTTCTTCTGCTTCGTTTACTATTTCTACACTTGCCCTGGATGCTTTCTAACTCCATACCACATTCTTCAGCCGTTTTGCTGTTTGGTTGTGGTAATACACTAGCACACCATAAATGATCTAAGTGTTGTCTGTCTTGTGGGAGCTGACAGAGTGCTGCAGGGCCGTTCCCTTCCTGCTGCCCGTGCTGAAGCTGAGCTTTCCAGGGCAGGCTGTTCACTGAGAAGATCCACACTAATCGGAAAGGCATCGGAACCAAAAGATGTGCAAACGGCCACTCCACACAGCAGGGCAAGGCAGCATGGAGCCTCTGAAACGTCAGAATTCATCAACTGCTCAAACATTCAAATAGGTAACATCCCAGGTGAGGACTAGGTCAGTGACCCGAAGGAGGACACAGCAGCCGATGGATCCAACCCCAGGCCCTTGACGGGGAAGGAGAAGTGAGAACGGCTGGACAAGAGAGTCAGAAAGATGAGCAAAGTCAGCCAGGTGAAAGCAAGTGTAGTAAGAAAAGTGACATTTTTGAAGAAAAACCAAAGGGTGGGAAGTGAAAAAAAAATCAAACGGAAAATACAATGGAGAGCACCACCAACAATTCTAAAATCCTCCGCCATCAGGAAATGAAGATTCAACTGCTTTGGGCTTCTCTCGTCCCAGGCAGAATGGCCATCCAAACAAATGAGGCAAAGGCTGGCCAGGATGCAGGGAATGATGGACCCTACCCACAGCTGATAGGGAAGTAAACTTTTGCAGACACCCTGGAAATCGGGGTGCAGACTCCCCCCAAATCTAAAACTCTGGCTGGGCAATGACTTGATGGTTCTGAGTACTTGTGCAAGTATATGGGGCCCAGAGCTTAGAATTCAGCATCTGCAGAACAGGCTGAGTGTGGACCCGTGCATGACCCGTGGGGATGGATCTACAGAACAGGCTGAGTGTGGACCCGTGCATGCCCTGTGGTGATGAATCTACGGAACAGGCTGAGTGTGGACCCGTGCATGCCCAGTGGGGATGGATCTACAAAACAGGCTGAGTGTGGACCGGTGCACGCCTGGTGGTGGTGCACAGAGTTGCTAGGTTTTGCTGGCTGCCAGCCTACCCAAAGTAATGTAAGCTCCAGAGGCAGTGAGAGATCCTGCCTTCAAAGTAGTAAAGCCCAGAGTGACAGCAGACACACACCCAGTTCCTCCCTTTAGCCTCCACGTTCCCACACAGGAGCATGGACCAGCACCCACGTGGGCATGCACTTTTTACACATATGTACACACAGAAAAAATTTAATGAACTTTCTTATTAAAAAACTTGCAAATGAAAACATCACACACCATTTCCAGACCCAAAGACTATACATCTTAAGGAACTTATATATAATTAGAATTGGCATTCTTTTTTTTTTAAATCAATTTTTAAGAAAAAAGTGGTAAATATTTTTAAAAAATTGGCCTTCTTCTAAAATTGATATTTTTAAGTAAAACAAAAATTAAATTAGAACTATTATGTGATCCAACTAACTCCTAGGCATATAGCCAAAGGGCTCCAAGCCATCGTACTTCAGAAGTTCTTATACGTTAATATTTATAGCTGCACCGTTCACAACAGTTGAGAATACAACCAGCCAGATATCCATCGACATATGAATAATGAATAAAATGTGTCACATAAGCACAGTAGAATTGTTTGCAGCCATAGAAATAATGAAGCCATGACAGTCACAGGACAAGGTATGCACCCACAAATCACTATGTTAACTGGGATAAGGCAAATGCAGAAAGACAAACTCCATGTTTCTTTTGTGTACAGAATCTAAAGTTTTATATACATATATGTGTGTAATATCTCTGTGTGTGTATTTGTGTGTGTACATTTGCATATTTGTGGAGGGGGTGTTTGTGTGTGTGTGTGTGTATGTGTTTAGGTCATGAAACGAGGGGGTCATGAGAGGGGAGTGTGATATTAAGAGAGGTGGGAATATACAAGGCAATAGAATATATGTAATAGGAAAGCAAGGGTTAACTGGGGGAGTAAAGGAAACCAGCTGGATGGCAGAGGAGCATGAGGAGGACCGGGAAGAAAATATAAAGACACATATATATACTCAGACGCCATCACGGAAGCCATTCCTTTGTCATGTCAACCTGAAAAGTAAACAATAAATAAAACTCTTAGAAAAATACATGTTCTGTCAGCTTGAGAGAACCTACTACATAAGAAAGGTTGTGGCCGTCATTCTTGAGAGGGAGTTTGTGGAGACACCTCCGATTGTCTAGACTCCAGCTTGTTTCTGTGTGAGAACTTGTCGCCATTTCCTCTTTTGGTTTCATCTGGATGCCACATGTCTGCTGTGACTAAGAATGGCTCTCACAGTCCCAAATGTTGGAATGTTTAGTCACCAGGGAGGGGCACTGTTTGAAAGGATTCAAAGGATTTGTAGGGTGTGGCCTTGTTGGAGGAAGTGTGTCACTGGGGGTGGGTTTTGAGGTTTCAAAAGCCCCTGCCAAGCCCAGAGTCTCCCTCTCTGCCTATGGCTCAGGATGTAGAACTCTGAGCAACTTCTCCAGTACCGTGTCTGCCCATGTATCTACCATCCTCCCTGCCATGATGATAATGAACGGACCTCTGCAACTGTAAGCCAGCCCCCAATTGAGTGCTGTCTTTTATAAGAGTTGCCTTGGTCATGGGGTTTTGTCACAGCAGCAGAACAGTGACTGAGACACCAAAGATTCCAAAACTCTGCTTGTTGATCTGACACCTGTCCTACTACTGTGGTGAAAAGAACCACGGGAATCCCATGTGTTTCTGTGTGGCATTGCTGCATGGCTATAAACAAGGAATGTAAGTAAATTCACATCCCCATGATGAGACCGCCCCCCCCCCATGACCAAGGCAACTCTTACAAAACTCAAGAATAGATGACAGAAATGTCAGTGTGACCTCAAGGAAAAATCGATCTCATTAATTATATGTACATTTTAAAATGTACATTGAAGATCCTTGAGGACTGTGACCTGACACACTACACTGCTCACTTACGGAGGGAGAGGGCTCTGGAGATCAGCACCGGTATTCACTTTCCAGCGTCGGCGCTGTAGGAACTAGACCCGCCTCACTGATTTTTTTTTTTTCTCCTTGCTTTGACCAGCCCAGCTCTCTACCCAATCTGCCAACTTGCCCTTGATTTCCACAGTGACCATGAAAAGCCGTGTCCTGCACCATGAGGCCCATCGAATGGTGATGCCTACTAAATCTCCATATCCCAACACCCCCACCATTCATGTGCCGGCCCTTCTGATTCCACACCTGGCTTGCCTTTGCTTTTCAGGCCTTCTACAACTATCATGTCCTGGAATTACTTCAGATGCTGGTGACGGGAGGTATCAGCTCTCAGATGGAACAGTATCTGGTTAAGGAGAAGCACTATGGTTTCCATGAAAGCTGTGCCACAATCCTCTCTGGGAGGGCACGGTGTAAGCTGGGGCTTCTCTCTTTAGACAAAACCATTCTCTCAGACATTAAGGTGAGTCGACTTGATTTCCTACTTCCTTAACTCTCTGAGTCTCGATGGTCTAGACTGCTTGAATTCATAAGTCACTTAGCACAGAAATAATAATTAGTAAATGTTGAATACAATACAGTGTTATAGCTACAATGTCTATACACAGTACATTTTTATCGGTTGTGTTTATTCTTTGCAACAATCTCAAGAGGTAGAGGAAGAAATTCTTCTCTCCATCCTCCAGCTAAAGCTCCACGCACTGTCAGAGAGGCCCAACACTTTGTCCAAACGTGTCCCCTATAGATCCACTATAGATCCTATAGATTAGAAACTCAGTCCCTAATGCAACAGTGTTGAAGGATGAGCCATTAAAGACTGATGGGGTGTGATGGGCTAGCTGTCACTAGCAGAAGTGGGGGATCCATAGAAGGATGGGCTTGGCTCCTCCCTTCTCTCCTACATGTGGCCTCTCTTGCCCATTGACCTTGTCATGAGACGATGCAGCAGCAAGGTTGTTGTCCTCTGGAGACCTCAGCCCCCTTGACCGCAGCCTTCCCAGAAGCCCTAGATCTCTTCTGTATCTGCCTCCGTCTCTTGTGTTTAATCTGTCCAGGGATGACCTGAGTTGGTAACTAATTTCATTTAACAGATCATTTAAAGACACTGAGGCTTACTGAGGCCACCACAGTTTCAACCATGTCACAGTAGGGGTCCAGCTAAGGAGTGTGGTCCAGGTTCTGATTATTGCCTCAATACCCACAATGCTAAAGACTTCTGGTGAGGCTAGCTGCGTTCAGGCAGAACTCTGTGGCGGAGTCTAAGAATGTCACTGGTTCATAGAATACGCTGGCACTGTCTTGGCCCACGATACAGGCAGACTATAACAAGATAACACCGTGGGCAACTTTGGGGGGTGGCAGCTCTTCATTGAGGAACCAGAGTGCATTGAGGAACCTGATCACAAACGGTCTACTTCTCAGTGTTAGGCTTTCTGTTTTAGTTTTGAGTGACCCTGCATCCACCTATCCAGTGTTATTATCAGAATGCACATGAACATGGAGGCATCTTTTGTAGAGTCAGTGGATATCAGCGGGGCCCCTTCCAAGGAGCATGCTCTTTAGACCTCTGCACTCTCTGCACATGTCCCAGCATATACTGCCCAAATGAGCATGGCCTGCCTGTGCCTGCGAATTCCAGGTGCAAATACCATCTGCATTATTCTCACCTGCACTTGCCTGGTGAGGGATAGGCCCAGAGGAAGCACAGAGCTGAGCAGTACTTTACCTGGCCATTCCAGGTGCATCTAACCTGTCTGCCCCTGCCTTTGAACTATGACCTTGCTGAAGAGAGCTTTTGAGCAGGAATGCTTGAGACTCCCAGAAGGTTACCCTAAAACTGAGTTTTTGAACCTGTTACTCATGATTAATTCTTTTTTTTTTTTTTTTTTTTTTTTTTTTTTGGTTTTTTCAAGACAGGGTTTCTCTGTGTAGCTTTGCGCCTTTCCTGGAGCTCACTTGGTAGCCCAGGCTGGCCTCGAACTCACAGAGATCAGCCTGCCTCTGCCTCCCGAGTGCTGGGATTAAAGGTGTGCGCCACCACGCCCGGCATATGATTAATTCTTAATGGCGGCCAAAGCTAGCAACAGGAAAAGAACATTCAAGAGCGTGTGCCACACTACACCCACCAGAGGCTTCTGGGAAAGCCAGAGTGATAAAGGGATCACTAATCCCAAACTTCTGTGACTGCCCACTTCACACTGCCGCCACAGGCAGATGAATGGCTATTAGGTCTTCTAGATGTCTGCAGCAGAGAGCAGGTGAACCAAACTCAAAGAAGTTCTTGAAACTGTTCGATTAAAGTGTTCAGCAAACTCCTGTTGTTCTGTTCTCTTTCCAGCCAAGAAAAACCTTTGGACAGCTGTTCTGTGGCTCATTAGATAATTATGGGATCCTATGTGTTGGCTTATACCGTGTGATGGATGACGGCGAACACAGCCTCGAAAACAAAAGGGGAGTATGCTGATTGGAAAAGTGCTAGCCATCTTTTAAGCATGGGAACCAAGGCTCCTTTGTCTCAGTGAAAGCCAAGTCCAGAGCTCCAGACCAGCCTTTGCATGTCAGGATGCAGGGGCTAGATAATGACGTAAGAATATGGAAGACTGGGTCTAAACAACAGGAAGCATGTGATCCGAATCCTGTGAACCTCGTAAGGAGAGCAGATTCTGTCCCTATTGAAAACTAAAATATAGGCTCTAAATAAAAGTTCTTCTATGACCTACCTCCATCCACGAAGCCACTGTCTACATCAGAGAGATGCCCTCGCTTCCTGCTGGATTCATTGGGAAATGTCTAATGAACGCTTCCTTCTGGTCATGGTGGTTTGTATTATTAAATCGTCAGTGTACTGTGTTCAGACTCCAGTTTTGTTCAAAGGAGATCATTCTGCCAGCTGTGGGAAAGAGAAAACATCTGTCTGGATCAAAGAGGGAAAAGGGAAGAGAAAGGGAGAGGCACGCACGCAGTCAAGAACAGCAGTTCCAGTCAGGACTGTCTGTCACCAGAACGAAAGCAGGGAGTAGCCAGGGAGAAATGGAAAAATGAAAGGGTAGGAGTAGGTTGGTGGAACCATTCCAGGCAGAGGACAAGGAAAATTACTCAAAAGAGCGGGCTCAAGTGAGAAGGAGAAAGGGGGAGGAGAGGAAGAAGAGAAGGAAGAACATTATAGTAACAAGGGAAGGGACAAATGAATAACATAAGGTTGTCTGTGGGGGTTCTTAGCATGAAGATTTCTTCGTGCAGACAGGACACAGATTCGAGAAGAGGTAAAATTCAGATTGATTGCTGATTGATTTGAAATCAGGGTCATCGTGGATACGGGGAACGACGGCAGATTGTAGAGTCAAAGGATGAGGACTGGAAATCCTGATGAAGTAGAAATGGGATGTAGTCCGAGTAAGGGAGTCAGAGAGGAAGGATGGCGGGAGGCTGTGGGTGGAGACTCATTCACCGAACCTAAAGATGTCTGACATGGGACGTAGTCAGGAAGCAGGAACAGTCAGGAAGTACCAGGAAAGTGGTTTGGAGACGGAGACTCTGGGTAGCAGATGTCAGAGCCGTGAGCCTGGGTGACAGTTGTAGACCGCGCAGACACTGGGAATGAACAGTGTTGCTGGGGCTAGAGTTCCGAAGAGAAGGCTGCCCAAGTGCCGAAGACCCAAATAAACATGGCGGTCTGTAGATGGCACGGAAGGATTAGTAGGGAGGGGTAAGTGGCTTTGGCGCCCCTTTAGGACAGTGGGGAGGAGCAATGCTCTGGATGCAGCAGAAAGTAGAAATGATTCCTATGTAAAATATGTTCCCCAGCCCCACACTCCCTCAGCTCTGAATCCTGCCCCCACAGGTCCGGAAATCTGTAGACTATGGTTTTGGGAAGAAGGCGCAGCTTATGTTTGAGAGGTCCTCAAGGAAGGAGATGGGAAATGATGAGTCGATTATCTGCTGAAGGGAGGTCGAGTCTGCATACTTAAGGAAGGGGGGACCTTTGGGGAGAGCAGTGAAGGGCAGGTGAAAGTCACACAAGGTCAGCCTGCCTACATGTTGGTCATGAGTCCTGGGTACTAACTCATGCCTGCTGAGGTTGGCTCTGAACCTGACATCTTGTTGAGGTGTCTGCCTCTCCTGAAAGCCTTCTCATGGAGGCCCAGGCTGTGGGTGTTCTCTCAGATTTCTTCCGAAAAGAAGTCTGGGTTTTCAGATGCATTTATTCTTTGGTCAGGCTGCATTCTGTATAAAATTCGGTGACATCCACATCAGGTTAAGATAGATATAAATCTACATCGAAATAACCGGGACACCGGCATGTTGTAGCAAGCAAACCGTATTGTTTGGTTTCTCTGGTCAAAGGAGCTTTCTCCCAGTCAAGTCCTGCACTTGTTTTTGTTTGCGTGTTTGCACTTCCAGGGGTGGAACCCAGGGCATTGTACCTGGGACCAAGTGTTCCCAGTCTTCCTGTCTTGTACCCCAGTTTGCCTCAGCGCTCACACTTGTGCTAACGGAAAGTATTAGTGCATGGATACTGACGGCGGATAAGTCAATAGAGATGGACCCTCCCAAGCACAGTCTTGCTTCTCATTCAAATGATGGGAACAACTGATCTCAGAGAGCTGAGATCCCATGCCAAAGTGAGGGTGCTGTAGAGAGATGAAGAACGTCAACCTCTAGGACCCCTCCCGTTATGTTACGGTGTGCCAGTGAAGGAAAAGGGGAACAATGTCATCTTTTGTTGGGGCACGGCTTGTAGCCACACTGTCCAAACGGCGGTCTCAGAATTTATCTCTGGCTTCCCTTACAGGTTTGTGATCACCAGGCCATCTAATGAGTTTCACCTGCTGCCCTCGGATCTCGTGTTCTGTGCCATCCCGTTTAGCACCACCTGTTACAAAACAGAAGAGATTCCTTACAAACTGGAAAATGTCCCTTCAGCCCAGACTCTCGATGACATTACAAATGTCATGGCCATGGCCCCCGAGAGCCCGGAACAGCTCCCCAAAGTCAGCCCAGTGGCAGAGAAGACGTCTCAGCACCTCAGCTCCCGAGTCTACCCTTCATAACCGTTTGCTTCTAGGTGGTCAAGAAAAGTTAAGAACGGAAGTATGCTGTGGTTGTGCCCGTGGCTCAGTGGCTGACACGCTGGCAAGCCCACGCTGCTGTGGGAGGGACCTTCTTGTCCCACTGGATCCGATGTGATGAATAAAGATGAACGTGATAGATGGTATTAAAGGATGGTCCATTGCCCCCTTTCCTTGAACAAGAAATGGGTTCGTTTGAGCTGAATTAAGAAGTCGTCCTCCACATGGACAGATGCTGATTGGAACCGGAACGAATCGGTCTATGAATGAGATCTAGGTACCTGCCTGGGACGGGGCAGATGTTCATTAAAATGAATATTATGAATATTTGGGGATCACGCCGAAGCAGGGAATCGGCAGAATTTGGGCAACCTGGGTAAGTCCTTGCTTCTGGGCATCAGAGCTGTTACAGACTGCTAAGGCCAGGGAGACTATAAAAAGTCCTCTCCATTTTGTGTTGGCCAGCTACTCCTGGACATGGAGCCTGCCCTGCAGAGCGGTTCATATACCCAGTGAGACTCCATTGGAGGGAACTGGTTTTCCCTTCGCTGGTGGGTATAAATGAGAGGTAGTCTCTTCGTTAGGGGTGGGAGACCGAGGCCCCTCCCCTCTCAGCACTGGGACCCCACCCAGCTTGAACCCGGGCAGGCCTTCTGTGTGCTGCCACGGTCTCTGGGAGCCCACGACACTCAGTCCTGTCGTGTCTGGAAGACCCTTGTTTTGTTTGGGTATATTTTTTGTCTTACTGGATTTTTTTGGTTGTTTTGATTTTCATTTTTGTGTTTTATTTTATTGAAAGAAAGAGAAATAAGATAAATTTGGGTAAGGAGGTGGGAGGATTTGAGAGGGGGAAACCATGATCAAAATATATTGTATGAAAAATTTTAGTAATAATATTAAAAAGTCCTACCCAGAGCCCAGGTGTACTCTCTCATCTCTGGCCTCTCATTCCCCTTGATGGAAGCTGTTTTTCTCTTCTAACGGCATAACTTTTGTTCTTTTTTTCTCTCTGTGGCTGGTGCATCTAAGTTCCTCCTCAGTCTATACTTCCTTCCAATGTCAGCTGCCCTGGGCTCTGTGACTGTCCTTTCTCTTAGGGATGCTCATGATTCT